TTTTGAGATCCTGGTTGAAATCAGATGCTGAGACAGAGAAAAGTTTGTGTATGTTGATCAAGGAAAAGAATTAGCAAATTGTCACAGATAATCTGCTTAAAGAAAGACTAAAATAAAGTTCCTTGGAAGACTGGCGACAGATTAAATGGTAATCAAAGTAGGAAAAACTGGAAGGATTCAACATATCTTCAGAAGATATCTGCCATTCATTTGAGGACTTTATTACATACAAACATGAATTTCAACTGGTGCATTTTTCTCTTAATAAGTTGTTCAATCATGACTTCAAACAATATTACTTCTATTAATATGGTTCAAAAGAGAAATACGTTGCCAAAGCTCGTTTGTCTTGTGCAAGAGGCAAAGCTTTGGCAATGTGTCTCTATTTTATTCTGTATTACCAAACAACTATTTGTACACTGAAGTTCCAAATCCAGTGACCAGGACAGTGTTCCAACAGCAGCATTCTCCCTCAAGGCAGCATGCGCCAATCACTCAAAACCAGTTCCCTGTCATTCTTATGCCCGACACCAGACTCCTGAAACTGCTCTACTCCCAATCTAGGAGACTCCCAGCAGAACAGTGGAAACATTTCATGGGTGTCCTCAAAGCACCCTTGATCAAAATTCCCACTGATGTGTACACTAGTTAGCTTAACATGAATAGCAGAATCTATTAAGTATGTGTTGGACTAATGGACCTACAAAGTTACATTGTGCTAAGAAACACTAATACAAAAACAAAATACAGTAAATGAAATAAAATATGATATAAAAACAGAATATGCTGAACACACTCAGCAGGATCCATCAAGTCAGAAAAAGAGTCAGTATTGCAGAGTCAGTATTCTACAAATAAACCCTAAGCTTCTTTAGCTGTTTAGCATCGAAGATGCAACTATATGACATATTTGAACATTTATAAGTGATGAACTGAAAAAAAAGTTAATTGCTATTGATTCACCAGGTTAATCAAAAAATTCCATATACAAACCAGGACCTCCCATTTATATCTTTATATTTAATGATGTAAGTGATGCAATCAGATAGTACTCAGATCTTATTTGAGGCTTGAATGGTTTGAAATTGAGAAAGGAATAGAACAGAACAGAACGGTCCATATCCTGCTTAATATATGTCAACATAAGTTTGCTCCAAATCAGAAAGAGATCCATTGTTTCTTGAACCTCTAAATATTGTGATAGCTAATGTAATAACTTCCTAATATACTTCAGGCCTGTTACTCTTTCTATGAACAAAGACTAACCAACTTCCCGTCTTAAATCTAACTTTCAACTTGTTTTTGATGACACTTGAATGCTTTGTTTTAGTAAATAAGTTGCTTGGAGGAACTCCATTTATTAATTCAGGCAACACTGGCTGGGCCAATATATATTGCCTATAGCTAGTTGCCCTTGAGAAGGTGGTGGTGAGCTGCCTTCTTGAATTGCTCCAATCCATGTAGTGCAGGTCGACCCACAATGCTGTTAGGGGTGGAATTCCAGGATTTCTGCCCAGTGACACAAGGAAAGGTAATATATCTCTAAGTCAGAATAGCAAGTGGCTTGGAGGGGAACTTGCAAGTGGAAGTACTCCCATGTCTTTGGTGTCCTACTCCTTCTAGATGGTAGTGAGGTGTGGGTTTGGAAGCTAAAGAACCTTGATGAATTTCTGCAGTGCATCCTGTAAATGGTACACACTGCTGCTACTGAGCATCAGTAATGGAGTGAGTGAACGTTTTTGCAGGTAGTGCCAATCAAACAGATTGCTTTGTCCTCGATGGTGTCGAGCTTCTCAAGTGTTGATGAAGCTGCAGCCATCCAGGCAAGTGGCAAGTATTCCATCACACGACATGTCTTTATGATGATGGATGGGTTTTGAGGAGTTAAGAAGTGGGTTATTCATCACAGAAATTCCAGCCTGTTAGAACTCTATTTATATGGTTAGTCCAATTCAGTTTCTGGTGAGTGGTAATATTTCAGTTGTTGTTAGTGGAGGATTATGCTATGATATTGCCATTGAATGTCAGGGGACAATGGTTAGATTTTCACAAAAACCTTAAGAACTGTGGATGATGTTAATTAGAAACAAAACCAAAAGTTGCTGGAAAAACTCAGCAGGTCTGGCAACATCTGTGGAGAGGAATCAGAGTTAATATTTCAGAGTTAATACTTCCTCAGATTCTCTCTTATTGGAGATGGTCACTGCCTGACACTAGTGTGGTGTAAAAGTTACTTGCTATTTGTCAACCTAAGCCAGGATATTGACCAAGGGTCTTGCTGCATTTGGACATTAGCTGCTTTGGTATCTGTGAAATCTTGAATACTATTGCAAACTGTGTAGTCATCAGTCAACAACTCCACTTCACTGATGAATCAGCTGAAGATGGTTCAGTATAGGACATTACCCTGGGAAACTTTTTTTTTAAAATCAGCTGGAAAACTAGGCTAAATGCATGCATGGCAAAATAAACAGGATATCCTGATTTAGAAAATTCTAGAGCCACATAAAGAGGGGATTTTCCATCACAACGAGAAAATTTCTTTCAAATGTGCATTTGGGCCATTCACGTACAGATAAATCAGGCAGCGTTGTATGTCAGCTAAAGACTGGTAGCTATTCAAACTATGTAAATTCTTGATCCAAATTTTACTTACATTTGATTCAAATCAGCAAGTGATTTAACTTTTGATTTCAGTATTTTTAAGTTTTCATTATTTTCTCGCTTTTCTTGCTGACTCTTCTTGATTTCACTTTCCAAGTCTTGGCGTATCAAGTCAAGCTCAGATTTTAGTAGCTGCAGAGACACATTAAAAATTAGTTCATTTCCAAAATGCTTCTGAGTGCTTATTTAAATTGGTGTAAAATATTCCAGCAAAAGTGACACATACATATAGTTCATTCTATTTACAAGACTTTTAAAATAATTTATTAGTTGACCACGCATGGAGCTGATAGTGTACAATGGGTGATAGCAAATCAAAAGCCTATTTTAAATCTCTAATCATTTGTTATTTCCACTGACTTCATTAGAAATAAAAATTGGCAGAGATGGAAAATGGGCTGCAATTTGCTACCACTTGCTTTACAGTATCACAGTTAGTCAAGATCAAGTGCAGGTTTGAGGTGAACAATGTTTGAAGGCAGAAAAGAATTTTCAGCATGGTCTATAATGGAAGGTTTGAGTTATAAAGAAAGGCTGAATAGGCTGGGAAATATTTCACTGGAGCATAGGAGATTGAGAGGCGACCTGATAGAGGTTTATAAAATAATGACAGGTACAGATAGAGTTAATGGTAGTTGTCTTTTCCCTACGATGAGGAATTTCAAGACGGGGGAACATTTTTAAGGTAAGAGGAGTGAGATTTAAAAAAGGCATGAGGGGCAAATTTTTTTACACAGAGGGTTTGCGTGTGGAATGAACTTCCTGAGAAAGTGGTGGATGTGGGTACAATTACATTTAAAAGACATTTGAATAGGTACATGAATAGGAAAGATTCAGAAGGATATGGACCAGCAGCAGACAGGTGGGGCTAGTTTAGTTTGGGTTGCTTGGCCCGAAGGGTCTGTTTCCATGCTATATGACTCAACGATATAATTCTGTTCCAATTTTAAGAATTCTCACTCATTTAAAAAAATACAGTATTTTTGTTTTATTATTCATGCTTACATCAAAAATAAATGCCAATTTAGGAAGATGTAAAGATAGTTAGAAAATTACTGTCCAAGGAGTCGAGATGCAAAACTGAAGTATCATAGTGGGCAGGAAGAAACAATATTATTTGTGGTAAGATGTTTACACTATTTCTAGAGTCACAGAGTGATACAGCATGGAAATAGACCCTTCGGTCCAACACATTCGCCCTGAACAAATATCCTAAACGGATCCAGTCCCATTTTCCAGCACTTGGCCCACATCCCTCCAAACCCTTCCTATACGTGTACTCATTGGGATGCCTTTTAAATCTAACTGTACAGCCTCCACCACCTCCTCTGGCAGCTCGTTCCATACATGCACTACCCTTTGCATAAAAAAGTTGCTCCTCAGGTCCCTTTTAAATCTTCCCCCCTTACCTTAAACCTATGCCCTCTAGTTTTGGACTCCACTATCCTGGGAAAAAGACCTTGGCTATTCACCCTATCCATGTCTCCTCAAGATTTTCTAAACCTCCATACGGTCACCCCTCAGCCTCTGATGCTTCGGGGAAAAAACCCCAGACTATTCAGCTTCTCCATATAGCTCAAACTCTCCAATCCTAGCAACATCCTTGTAAATCTTTTCTGAATCCTTTCAAGTTTAACAACATCTTTTCTATAACAGAGCAATCAGAATTGAGCACAGTATTTGAAAAGTGGCTTCACCAATGTCCTGTGTAGTCGTAACATGACATACCACCTCCTACACTCCATGGACTGAACAATGAAGGCAAGCGCACCACCCTATCTACCTGTGACTCCACTTTCAAGGAACTGTGCACCTGCATCCCTTGGTCTCTTTAGTCAGTAAAACATCGCAGGACCCTACTATTAACTGTGCAAGTCCTGCCCTGGTTTGCCTTAGCAAAATGCAACACCTCACATTTATCTAAATTCAACCCCATCTGCCAGTCCTCAGCTCACTGGCACATCTGATCAAAGTCCCGTTGTACTCTGAGAAGATAATCTTCTTCACTGTCTAGTATACCACCAATTTTCTAGCATAAATTTGTACTTAAGAGTTTATAACGAGTGACTGCAAATTTGAGCTTGAAAATAACACTTTACATGGGTAAATTTTGCAGGTACCTCATTTCTCTTTATGAATTCAGTCATTTTTTCTTCAAGTGCAGTAATTTCATCTCTGCTGCGGTTTGCAAGCTGATCATATTTTTCTTCTGCTTCTTGCAGTTGTTTCTGCAGAACATGGTGCTCCTTCTCAATTCTCAAAATATCACCCTATTGATCAGACCAAGCAACAATGTTATCAAATTGGTTTAGGCTCAGAGTATTGTGTTAGAATTTTGTCCTCCACTGGAAGTACGTTGCTCCATAGTTGCTGTGGCTATACAATCATCTTATGGCTAAAGCTCAGTTATATTAGTCACGTTGGAGTCAGAAATTCATGGGTACAAGCCTCACCCTAAAACTTGAATACGTAATGCAAGCTGATATCTCAGTATGGTAGAGGTATGATGGAATGCTACACTGTTAGAGACATTACCCTTTTGACAATACAAAAGCCCATCAAATGAAATATCTTTTGCAAACACTTGAAAAAAAGGGAAGATCTTCCAGTATTTATTCCTCAACTAACATCAACAAAACAGGTTATCTGGTCATTTGTTTTATTGCGTTGTTTGTGAGATCATGTTGTGTGCAAACTGGCAACTATGATCAAAAATTAATGTATTGGTTATAAGAAGTGTTGGGAAATCTCCCAACAATGTGAAACCACCCTTTATAAATACAAATGTTTTCTTTCTTCACATACCTGTTGATTTTCAAAAGGTTGTAAAGGATCAGTATTGATGTTGGTATTACAGAAAGATTCCTGACGAGCCTACAATAAATCAGACAAATATTTTCAAAAATAAGCACCTAATACACAAATGCTAGTAGAAAATCTTTTTTTTTCCACCCTTGGGACTTCAAAACTGTGAAACTTCTAACTTTCCTCAATCAAAATTTGCATCAGCACAGCATTTCCTGATCTATTGCATCCTCTCTGGTATATTTAATCTCTGTGGCCAGGTTCATCTCAGTTTGGCAATAATTACAAAGTATTTTGTGATAAAGATTTACATCTTATTTGTGTGTTATTAGTTGGAAATTTGGACTTTTAATATACACGCAGATGGGTTTTGGTTTCCCAACGGTGTGGAAGCAAACCTTTCGGCCCATCGAGTCCACACTGACTCTCTGAACAGCAGCCCACCCTGACCCATACTCCTACCCTATCCGTGTAACCCTGCATTTCCATGGCTAATCCACCTAACCTACACATCCCTGGACACAATGAGCAATTTAGCCAATCCATCTAGCCTGCACACCTTTGGATTGTGGGAGGAAACTGGAGCACCCAGAGGAAATCCACACAGACATGGGGAGAATGTGCAAACTCCACACAGAGAGTCGCCCAAGGGTGGAATCAAACGTGGGTCCCTGGCACTGTGAGGCAGCAGTGCTAACCACTGAGCCACCGTGTCACCATAAGACAACTGTTTCCATTTTAAGTCAGCAAGTCATTTGGAAAAGTGACCTAAACATATCATTTCTAATAAAGCATTAGTAGGATTTACTAAGTACTTAGTAGTTTACCTGTGGTGTGAATTGATAAAGTGTTTACACTACCAAGTTTATGACATACCAAGAAACAAAAGATGAAGGGCTTACTGGTGGTTTCAGTCTGAGTTCTGTTTAGAAGAATCAAATTTCAGTTTCATGTTAATGGAATAGCAGTTCAATTGCAGAAGAATCAGGTTATCAGTTGAGAAGAACAATTAGTTAGGTCTGTGGAATCTTCATTTGAGAGAGACTGTGCATGTTTTCTGAGGTGGTTCATGCCATTATAACTGGAAAGAAGTCTTAAAACTGTTTCAGCAGTTGAAGAAAGAGAACTGCAACAGTCAGTAAAATAAGAAATTAAAGTGTTAAGATAGAAGTTACATTTCTCTGGGACTGAGTATCCGTAAAGGATGCTGCTGGGGAATAAACTGAGTCTATGGGTTTGCTGTTTATGTTAAGATCTTTTTGAATTGACATATATATTGCTTTGTTTCTTTTTCCTCTTATGCAATAAACAATGACTCTACACCCTGTTCATAATATAAAACCCAAAATCCTCAGTGCATAGCATGTCAACTGTATACAAACTTAACATTGCATTACTTCTTTGTAATTCTACTTCAGTAGAAATGAACTCATGTTTCTTTTTAAATGGAATTTACAAAGTGATTTTTAATGATATGTCTGGTTCTTCAGATTCTCTCCTGCACTTAAAGTATTTCTCAAAGTAGTACGTGGCCTCCTTATTGTACAGAGAAAACTGTATTAATATGTTGAAACAAGAAGCCATCATTAGACATGTTGATCAACATGTGTAATTTTCTCTACATTTTTAAAGACAAACATTCTCTTGCCTATTATTTGGAAACATATGCTATTTGAGTTAAACTTATCTAATTTTTGCTTATTACTAATTTCTTTTAAATTGGGTGCCAGTCTTGCTTGTTTTCTGTGCACAAATCTAAAGTAGTAATATTTCTTGCATTACAGTGATCAGAACAGATCGATGTACTCCAAATAAACAGTAGTGTCTGTTTACTCATATTCTATATCCTCGTTATTTTTCTCCATTATATTTTCAATTGTTTTACCTTTCTTTAGATATTATAACCTACCATCAATTCCCAAGCCAGTTCAATTCATGACATTCTCATGCTGACCAAGAGCAGTTCGCATTTAGTGTAAAATTTAATTTGCTGTTTGTCCATCATCTAACTACCAGTTGCATCAAAAATCTCACAAACTCCTTTCTTTAGCTGCAGTTTCTTTTAAGTTTTGGCAATTCAAAGCACTGTCACCACTTTCTCCACCTCCTCCTACCATTCCCCCAACCCCACCCAATCTCCCAGCCATCCTCTCACCACACCAAAGGAATTGGTCCCAACGAAGTCGGTGAAGTTTATCTAGCCTTGACATAGATTTATCAGGTCTTATATCAGAGCATGGATTAGTTTCCAGAGATTTACATATTATCTGTTGAAATATTAATTCCTCATGCAGTAAAATATAAATGCTGATTAGGATTTTATATTTCCCTTAATGAAATTGTTAGGCAGTTTCTTTCCTTCCCATGTAACTATACTGCAAATACTATAGAATTACATTGATGTGATAGTATTTGATTTCTGTTGCAGATTATATTTTAGTGAATTGGCTATTTTGGAATACCAAGTTACACTCTATAATGATTTTATTCCTGGACTTAATACCTTAAAAAATCCTTAAAAAGAACATAATATTACAGCCGATAACAAAAACGCAACTCACTACTACACTGTTCTGAGGAAGGGTCACCGGACCCAAAACGTTTACTCTGTTTTCTCCTCCACAGATGCTGCCAGACCTGCTGAGCTTTTCCAGCAATTTTGTTTTTGTTCCTGATTTACAGCATCTGCAGTTCTTTTGGTTTTCACTACTTCAAGGTCTGGCTTCCCTTCAGAGTCTTGATCTACCACTTCTGAATCTGTTGTTACATAGTTGGGATGTTTATTTCCTTGCTCCTAATTCCTCCTTTAATGAAAATTGAATCATCGTTCACAGAAAGGATCCAGAACTAACAGTCACACTTACCAATAATTATCCTCACCTGTACGGCAATGGTCCTTAGCAATGGACCTCTTTTATTCTCACACTTATTGCAACTTGTATCAGACTCCTTGCTGCTCATTTTGCTTGATACACCATTAGTATCTTTGTGCTTAAAATCGCTCTGAGGCATTTCTTCAAGTTCACCCATTACTGTTGTATTAACACAAGATGACAGTCTCACATGTCCCATTTCATTTGCCATGGGGTTACATCCTCCACCAGAATTGACAGAATGAAACTGATAATTATAATTAGTAAAAGATAGATTTGAAAAATTCGGGATTACTTGTGGTATATCAGAAGGTATATGACTAGATGATACATCACTGCAGAACGTTGGATTAAAAGAAGATTGAGAGGCAGGAGCAATCGCATTTAAGTAATGATCGGTCAACGGATTGCTAGTCTTCAAATTATGATTCAATAAGCTCATGTCTGAGCCATGAATATCTGGTCTTACATCAGAATACGGATTAATATTCATATACACATTATCTGTTGAAAGATTAATTCCTACTTCAGTATCATAATGTATATGCTGATTAGGGTTTTGTATTTCACTTAGTGAACTTGTAACTGATAAAGATGATTGATGAAAAGACACAGGCTTAAATTCCTTAGCAGTGGGATTGAGATGAGCCACTGGACGTAAGCTTTCATTAGAAACTTCATCTGAGTTAATCTCGGATTCTTCAGTGCCTCTGGTTGCTGCTTTTTCACTTATAGCCAAGCTCTTCAATTGTACAGCATGCTTCATCAGTCCTATCAAATTGTTAATCACCACAAATCGCAGTGATTCCATAAGAAATGATTTCAAGCCACCCGTCTTTCGCACTAGCTCTTGGGCCTCTGGCGGGAAGTTTTCAAATTCGCCAACTAACATCTGGTTATCAATTTCCATTGGACCATGTTCATTCAGAATTTGGGCGAAGTAACTAGAAAAAATGACAATGGGAAGTTGGAACCAGGGTTAAAAATAAAATCATTGTAATATTAAACCAGAAGCATTGATATTGGTTGGATGCTAGTACAACAGACACTTACTAAAACTAAAAACAGCTTTCCAAGATAAATAGTTAATAAAAGTTTAAACGAACAGCAAACCATTCAATAACCAAAATGTACCACTGAAATGTTACTCTACTCCATCTGAATCCAGTCCCATCTAAAACATTTCTTTTTGCATTTGATTATCAACTGATCTATTGTACATGCTAGTATTTTCTATTTTTAAAAAAAATCAGCATTTTATGCATTGCTATAATCTAAATATACTTTATAATGTTTTATTTTCAAATGGAGACCCATTAGGTCTCCACTGGTTGGTCTCCAAGTGTTGTGAATCTGTAGAATTCCCTGCACAGTGAAATAGTTGAGGCTTCCTTATTGAATGTTTTTAAAGCTAAGATAGATAATTTTTTGAACAGTAAAGGAATTAAGGGTTATGGTCAGAGGGTGGGTAAGTGGAGTTGAGGACACAAAAAGATCAGCCATGATCTTATTGAATGGTGGAATGGTGCAGCAGGCTCAAAAGGGCCAGATGGCCTACTCCTGCTTCTGGTTCTTATATCTTTATGCTAGATTTAACCAATCCAATGAGCAAACTGTATAACTTAAAATAGTACAAGTGTATTCTGTTTAGGTTATGGCCTAAGAATGAATTGAAAAAGGAAGGGTGGATGCTGCAGTGAATTGATTCACTCAACATCCTGTTGTATGCAGTCTCAATTTAACAGGTGATGTTAGCGTATCACAGAGGTTACTTAATGAGAATGGTTTGCTGTTCGTTTAAAATTTTATTAACTATTTATCTTGGAAAGCTGATTTACAATTGCAGAATTCAAATTACTGTGATAAAAATACATTAGTCTTGTATAATTTTAAACAACAAATTACAGATCATTTCTCTTAAATACTTGGTGTCATGCTGGGAATGGTTTCATTTTTAATGGCTGTTTTCCACTAACACTCAAAAGTAGCTTGAGGTGAGGTGGTGACATTGTGGTAATGTCAGTGGACTAGCAACCCAGAATTCCAGTTTAACATTCTGGGTGCACAGGTTCAAATCCCACCATGGCAGTTGGTGAAATGTGGATGAAAATTCAAACTGAATTTGAAATGTCTGGAACAAAAAGTTTGTCTAACAGGGATGAGGTAACCACTGACGATTGTCATAAAAACCTATCAGGTTCACTAACATCCCTTTAGAAAGGAAATCGGCTATCCTTAATGAGTTATGCCTACATGCATTCCAGACTCCAAACAAAGAAGTCTCTAGCATGCAGGGTGCAGTCATCTACTGCTTTCCCACTGAACTACTAGGCAAGTTTGTCTTAAAAAATGAAAAGCCCACCAATATATCTCAATAGCAGAGATAGTAGGAACTGCAGATGCTGGAGAATCTGAGATAACAAGGTGTAGGGCTGGATGAACACAGCAGGCCAAACAGCATCAGAGGAGAGAAATGGCCCATTTCTGAAGAAGGGTCTAGGCCCGAAACGTCAGCTTTCCTGCTCCTCTGATGCTGCTTGGCCTGCTGTGTTCATCCAGCTCTACACCTTGTTATCTCAATAGCATAACTGATGTGAACATTGCACCCATTTATAAGGCTGACCTCAAGCATAAAATATATGCTCAAAAGCATAGCAATGCAAAATAATACAATTAAAAAAAATTTACTCAAAAACTGAGCTAAATGATGCTTAATCATAACAGATGTTATTAATACAAAGCATATTAGTGAATTTTAGAAAAACAGCATAGGTGACGGCAGTATTTAAGTCATTTTACTTCTTGCACCATCCATGGAGTAATATAAATCTGTACTTACTCATACAGGCTTTCGCGTGTTGGGTCTGGGTTATTGTCTAGGACCCGCTGGTAATGACTGCCATATAGTTGAGGATCATAACTATCTTCAAAATCCTCAAGCCGAACACGAAGATATTCTGGTACCATAAATGGACCTGCAGAGGTCATTTGTGTACTATTGAAGAGAATCACCAGCACAGATTAATACATCAGATACACTGTCAACAGAATCTCAGTAGAGTAAAATATCTTAATGGTTTCACCCTAGATTCTGCAAATTAAATAGATTTAATTTCTGTATTATGCATACCTGCAGTGCATTATTTTATTTTATCCTTCTAACCTCAAGTCAGCTGGAAGTAATATTTCGAGCCAAATAATAAAGTAATGCTGGTATGAATTACTTCAGCTGATGAATTAAGAATATTGTACTTTGCACACACTGTAATCTCTCAGAAACTACAGAAAAAGTGAGCTCTGTTTTCCTGGTACTAGGTTTTCCTGTTTTGTTTCCTTCCACAGTTAGTTTTCTCCATTCCAATTGCATTGAAGACATTGAATCGCAATGGAATCAAGGATCACGGACCTTCAAATTCTTTTTTTTCACTTGTTGTCCACAGATTTTGTTGTCAAAGAATATTTATCCAAAACAATTGCTATACCTTTTAAATGGAATGACACAAAGATAACTGGAGAGATAAGCAGTGTTGAGGAAGCAGGAGGTTGGAAGAGGATTTGGACAGATTATATGAATGGGAAAAGAAGTGGCAGATGGAATACAGCATGGGAAAGTGTGAGGCTATGCACTTTGGTAGGAAGAACACAGGTATAGACTATTTTTTTAAATAGGGAAAGGATCTGGAAATCTGAAATACAAAGCAACTTAGGAGTCCTAGTTCAGGGTTTTCTTAAGGTTAACAGACAAGTTAATTTAGCAGTTAATGAAGCAAATGCAATGCAAGCATTCATTTCGTGAGGGCTAGATTATAACAGCAGGGATGTACTGCTGAGGCGCTACAAGGCTCTGGTGGGACTGCATTTGGAATTTTGACAGTAGTTTGGGCTCCGTATCTAAGGAAGGATGTGCTGGCTTTGGAGGTGGCCCAGAGGAGGTTCAGAAGAATAATCCCAGGAATGAAGAGCTAGTCATATGAGGAATAATTGAAGACTGTGGGTCTGTGCTCGACGGAGTTTGGAAGAATGGGGGGGGTGGTTGCGGGTTGAGGGGGAGAGGAGATCTGATTGAAACTTAAACATATTGAGAGGCCTGGATAATGTAGACATGGAGATGATGTTTCCACTAGTAGGAGGGACTAGGACCCTCAGAGTGAAGGGATGACCCTTTAGAACTAAGATCAAGAGGAATTTCTTCCGCCAGAGTGTGGTGAATTTGCAGAACTCATTGCCGCAGAAGGCTTTAGAGGCCAAGTCATTGAGTATATTTAAGATAAAGACAGGTTCTTGAACTTTTTTTATTCATACATGGGACGAGGGCATCATTGGCTGGCCAGCATTTATTGCTGTCCCCAGTTGCCCTTGAGAAAGTGGTGGCAAGCTGTCTTGAACTGCTGCAATCTTTGTGCTGTAGGTTGACCCACAATGCCCTTAGGGAAGCAATTCCAGGATTTTGACCCAGTGGTAGTGGAGGAATAGCAATACATTTCCAAGTCAAGAGGCGAATGGCTTAGAGATGAACTTTTAGGTGGTGGTGTGCCCGTGTACCAGCTGGCCTTGTCCTTCTTGATGGAAGGGGTCGTGGGTTTGGAAAGTGCTGTATAAGGATCTTCGGTGAATTTCTGCAGTGCATCTTGTAGATAGTGTACACTGCTCTTAAGGAGCGACAGTGGAGGAGGGAGTGATTGTTTGTGGATGGGATGCCAATCAAGCAGGCTGTTTTGTCCTGGATGGTTTCAAGCTTCTTGGGTGCTGTTGGAACTACACGCATCCAGGCAAGTCATAGGATCATACAGCCCAGAAAGAGGCCTTCAGCCCAACTTGTCCATGCCGACTAGATTTCCTAAAATGAACTATAGTCCCATTTGCCTGCATTTGGCCCATATCCCTCTGAACCTTTCTTATCCATGTCCAAATATCTGTTAAATGTTATAATTGCACCTCCCTCTACCACTTCCTCTGGCAGCTTGTTCCATAGACGCACCACCCTCTGTGTGAAAAAGTTGCTTTTCAGGTCCCTTTTAAATCTTTCTTCTCTCATTTTAAATCTATGCCCTCCAGTTCTGGTCTCCTCTACCCTGGTGAAAAGACCTGGGCTATTCACTCTATCTTTGCCCCTCATGATTTTATAAACCTCTTTAAGGTCACCCCTCAGCCTCTTACACTCCAAGGAAAGAATTCCCAGCCTGTCCAGCCTCTCCTTATGACTCAAACCTTCCAGTTTAATAACATCCTTCCTATAGTAGGGTGCCCAGAATTGAATGCAGTACTCCAAAAAATGGCCTTACCAATGTCTTGTACAGCCAGAACATGACGTCCCAACTCTTGTACACAATGCTCTGACCGATGATGGCAAACATGCTAAATGCCTTTTTCACCATCCTGCCTTTGTCATTATTTTCAAGGAATTATGTACCTGCACCCCCAGGTCTCTCTGTTCGACAACACTCCCCTGGGCTCTACCATTAACTGTGTAAGTCCTACTCTGTTTTGTCTTACCAAAATACAATACCTTGCATTTATCTGAATTAAACTCCATCTGCTATTCCTCAGCCCACTGGCCCAGTAGATCAAGATCCTGTTGTACTCTTAGATGACTTCCTTCGCTGTCTGCTATACCACCAATTTTGGTGTCATCCAAACTTACTAATCATGCCTCCTATATATTCATCCAGATCATTTACAGAAATGACAAACAACAATGGACCCAGCACTGATTTTTGCTGCACACCACTGGTTACAGATCTCCAGTCTGAGCAACAACCCTATACCACCACCCGCTGTCTCTTACTGTCAAGCCAATTTTGTATCCAATTGGACAGCTCTCCCTGGATCCCGTGTAACCAGTGTAGAGTATTCCATTAAACTCCAGATTTATGCCTTAATGGACATGCTGTAGGGATTCAGGAGGTGAGTTACTCACCACAGTATTCTAGCTTCTGACTTGCTCTTGTAGCCACTTAGTTAATGCGGCAAGTCCATTTGAGTTTCTGGTCATTGGTATCGCCAAGGATGTTGATTGTGAGGGATTCAGTAATGGGCAACACAATTGAATATCAAGATGCAGCGGTTAGATCGTCTCTTATTGGTGATGGTCATTGCCTGGCATTTGTGTGGTGAGAATGTTACTTGCCATTTGCAAGCCCAAGCCCACATATTGTTCAGATTGCACTGCATTTGAACATGGACTGCTTCAGTATCTGAGGAGTTGTGAATAGTGTCAAACATGGTGCAATTATTGGAGAACACTGATTTTCCCTCCATTATTAGGTCAATGGCATTGATGAAGCAATTTAAGATGGTTGGGCCTATGACACTACCCTGAGGAACTCCTGCAAAGATGTCCTGGAGCCGAGATGACTAACCTCCAAAACCAAAACCATCTTATATGTGCCAGGTACAACTCCAACCAGAATAGTTAGCAGAGATCAAGGATTACAGTGAAAAGGCAGAAGAATGGGGTTGAGAAACATGTCAGCCATGACTGAATGGCACAACAGGCTTGTTGAGCTGAATGACATAATTCTGCTCCAATATCTAATATATATCTTATGGAATTAAAGGGAAATGTAAGGATCTGATGTAATCCAATAAGGTAGGGCAATAAATAAGGTGCTATGCCAATGGGCTGACAAGGATGAAAAATCATTAACCTGTGTTCTTTTTCTCCCCCCAATCAAATAATGGAGTTCATTGATCTTAACACATGGAGCTCAACAAACTATTATTAAAACAACTTTAAATGTCTAATTTAATTCAAAGGTCAGTAATTTCTTCAAAGTATTTACTGAAATTGCAATTGCTCCAATCAAGGGCAAACCTGATTCACAATATACATTTTTTCTTGCTGCAGAAAATGGTCTTGAAGTGCTACAAAATTCCAATAAAGCACAGCATGTGGAAATATTGATTAAACATTCACAGTAAAATACTGCATCATGAGTGTTTTTTTCGATACCAAAATATCAATTAAGCTTAATCACAACAAAGGTTTCATTTACAGCAAGCAAAAACAAATTCTTTATTAAAAAAAACAAACCTACACTTTCATTTGCCTAGATGTCCAGTAGCATGGCAGAGACTGATTCTCAGACCAGGAAAGATAATGGTTCAGTGACTCTAGACTTGAATGATTTAAGCTGGGCCAAGTAGCATTTGTACTTGAAGTGAAAGATATTATTTTGGCAGGAAATCAACAAAAGCAGAACTTCACGGAATGAATATAATTTTCATATAAAGCTAACAGAGGATCTATTTTGCCCGACAGATTCAATAGAATAGTTTTGAAGATTCAGATCTTCCTTCTAAAGCAAATAAGTAACCATTTTCATCATTACTTCTGCCTTCTTTGGTTAAAGAAAGCCAACTAATTCAGTGGATCGAAGAAGTGACAGTTCTTTTAAAATTAACAATTCTTGGAATTCAGCTTCAAGTGAAGACACAAATATAATAACACTGTAACGCCAATGAAAAGCTGCCTAAATAATCCTATATCTATATATTCAGAAAACAGACCTTACTTATTGCTCCATTTTATTGGAGTGCATCAGATTCGTTCATTTCCCTTTAATTCCATTTAAAAACTACAGCTTTTTTTAAAAGATAGATGTTTCCCCACATTTTAATGAAAACGTTGATATGTGACATCTGTCTTTAGACAAAGCATGCCGAGGTGATACTTGTTCTCAAAATTCTGCTAATAACTAAAAGAAGCAATATTCCTCTTACTTATGCTAATTCTCTTACAGTCACTTAGTAATACTGTACATGAATATTGCTGAAAATAGTCATATCACCAAAGCTTTCCATCTTGCATACATCTGGGCAAATTCAAGAAATTCAAATTTCAAATGATCACACAACTGATACTGAAAGAGAAAAGAGTGCTGATCAGTTTTGAAGGTCGACCGATTAGCTGAGGTATTGCCAAAAATAATACAATAGGGAAGAATAGACTCTTCAAGCTCCAGGGTAATTCAAAAAAACGTCATAGGCTATGTCCCAATTAATGACTGATCGAATCAAACAGCTTTGGTCGATCATAGTGACAAGAGTACAGATCATACACAACCAGCTTGCAGATACAAACCCAAAACAAAACTTAATTGTTAGGCATGATTCTGTGGGATTTGCTGAACAATCTTGAATAAGTGGTTATTCTAACAACCAAATTAAGGTAGTCATTTCTGCTGGAAACATGGCTCATTTATGTTTGCTACTGTTCTCTGCAAACAAACAGAATTATGTTCAAGGTTAACAAGGTGTAGAGCTGGATGAACACAGCAGGCCAAGCAGCAGGAAAACTGACGTTTTGGGCCTGGACCCTTCTTCAGAAAGAGGCTAGGCCTGAAACATCAGCCTTCCTGCTCCTCTGATGCTGCTTGGCCTGCTGTGTTCATCCAGCTCTACATCTTGTTATCTCAGATTCTCCAGCATCTGCAGTTCCTACTATCTCAGAATTATGTTCAAGCCTTGCGTCTTTTTCTGAATTCCTTGGAGCTTTTGATTTCTGTTTGGCAACATTTTGCCAATCAGAGTTGATTTGCCTGTATTGTATACTGATGTGATCATTTGAAAACTGGTATTTCTGTAACTATCCAGATTATCGCAAGACAAAGCACTTTGGCAACATGTTTTTCTACACTTGTCTGCAGGTATGCTATTTTACTGGGAATACTTACAGGATGCCATCATCGGAGAATATTTCATCATCATCCTCCTCACGGGCTCCAGCTCTGATTGACCCAGACAGAAGGAGAAAAGGCTGAGAAGCAAAATTAAGTGTGAATGAAAACACAAAGCATAAAGTTTGCAGAGTCTTGAAAAATACAGCATAAAGAATATTTGTAAGGTTGTTTCATAATGGCTCAAGGCTGGATAGAACAGTTTGGATTTTAATCCTTTCCATAATCCTAAAGAATCTGTGATATGAACTTTCTCTCATGGAATAAAAGACAGAAAGCACTGTAACATCATAAAACATTTCATGAAAGCAGATCAATTTGAAAATTCAATAAAAAGAGAACAGTCCACAAAACAACAGGACTAGCTCAGAGTCACAGCTATCTTCACTTCTCTTTGACCCATTCCCAGCATTTTGACACACACACAAACATTTGGGTTGGAATCCTTTCCAAATTATTCTACCAACTACACTGTAACAGCAGTTACTCAATCTCAATCTTAAGTGACTTTGAGACTCTTGCATTGCTCTTCACCAAAATCCCCCTTTCCTATAACCATACTACTTTGAGTCTACCCCTGAAAAAATTTAATTTTCTTACAATTCCACTTTCAAAATCCGAACTGTCTATCTTTGACCTCCAGTCATCTCAAAATTTCCGTAATATTAAAACCATTATACTTCTGCTCACTCTTACTGTTTCGGGTTATGACCCTCAAATCCGCTTCAACTCCCAGTCTCTTGGATTTAATCAGATGTGGCAGGCAATTGATCCTGTTCACGAGATCTACCTCTTCTTTTGACCCTCTTTCCAACAAACTACAGGTCATTCAGCTCTCCTTTGTAACTGATAATTGTTAATGGTTCCACTTCTTTAGGTCCTGCTCCCTCACCCTCAAATCTATCATTATTATCCAACTGAAAAAGCAACCACCCACTCCTTCACCCTTGTAAACTACCTCCCTTTTCTCTCCAAATCCCTTCAAACACAGTTGCCTCCGAAATCCATATTCATCTTTCTTGGAACTCTATTTCTATATTTCTCTGATCAGGTTTCCACACTACTAATGAAGTAAAATGGCTCTTATCAAATTAACAAAAGATACCCTAAATGATTGCGACAAAAATAAACTATCCTTTCCTAGCTCTCCTTGACATGTCTGCAGATTTTAAAATGGCTAACCATACCATTCTTCTCCAATGCATCTCCAGTGTTATTCAGCTGGGCAAGACTTCACTTGCCTAGTTCCAAGTCTTATCTAATCATAGCCAGAGAATTGCCTGTTATGCCTCCTTTCCACTTTCCAGCACAATTACCTCTGGTACTTCCCAAAGATCTACCTGAGGACCCCTCCCTGTTTCCCAAATACAAGTTTCGACTTGCTGACATCATCTGAAAACAGACTCTGTACACATGCTGATGACACAGAGTTCAATCACGCCATCACTGCCTCCAGAGGCTCAAGACTGCTTATTTAACATCCAGTTCCAGAAGGGCTGAAACTGCTTTCAACTAAAGGCAATAAAATTGGAGTTATCTGGCATGTACTTGGATTGGGTGGTGCTGGAGAATTAGCAATGCCACGTAACCCAGCTGTTAATAGTTCTGCCATTCAGGGAATGAGTTCACAATCATGTCAGACAGACAACATCTGTATTTTATGTAGCAACCCTGAAGCCTGCTACATTTGTTTAAAAATTGCCAGTCTCTAAAATACGAATGTGGTACAGTATCTAGAAAATTTCTAGGCAAATACTTAACAGATAGTTTGCAATAATGACAATGCAGAGCTCCAGTGAGGAAATAATTTTGTTTTCCAGCACTTGATTTTTAGTCATTGATCTTTAAGGTCGGTGCAAGGGTTTCAGCATCTGCAATTTTGTTGCTAACTTTTATTGCATATATGCGTGCAAGTGAGCTCTCATGGATTTCACATGGGATACTGTATTTTGAAACCTGACAACAGGTTAGAAACTGCTTCTTGTGAATACTTGAAAATGTTAGTGGGTGCAGCATTTCAATTTGAATGGTGATGAATAATAGAGGGCAAAGTGAGGAGAGGAAATAAACACAACAACTATCATAAGAGAAAAAACGCTCGGGAAATTAATGGGGGCTAAAGACCGATAAGTCCCCTGGCCCTGATGGGATGCATCCTAGGATATTAAACAAAGTATATATAGAGATGGTAGATATATTTGGTAGTAATCTTTCAGGAATCCTTGGATTTTGGTAATGTCTCAGAGGATTGGAAAACTGCCAATGTAACACATTTATTTTAAGGAAGGAGACAAAAAGGTTAATTATATGCCAGATAGCTTAATGTGTTTTATTGGGAAAATATTTGAGTCTATGACAAAGGATGTAATAACAGAGCATTTAGAATTACATTGTATGATCAAACAGAGTCAGCATGGCTTCATGAAGGGTAGATCATGCCTGACAAATTACTAGAATTCTCTGAGGAGCTAACAAGCAGGATAGATAAAGTAGAAGCCCGGGATGTTATACATATGGATTTTCAGAATGCTTTTGATAAGGTGCCACACATTACGCTACTTAATAAGACGAGTCCATGGTATTGCAGATAGTATATTAGCATGGATGGAGAATTGGCTGACTAATAGAAAAAAGCATTGGAAAAAGGGATATTTCAGAACAGCAAACTATAACTAGTGGAATGCCATAAGGATCAATTGGGACTACAATTATTTACTATATATTTTAATGACTTGAATCAGGAAAGTGAAGGTACTATCACAAAGTAGGTGAATAAAGCAAACATAGGTGGTAAGGAAAGTGATGAGGATGACAGAGAGTCTGCAGAGGGATATAGACAGGTTTAGTGAGTAGGTTAAAAACTAGCAAATGGAAATTGAAAGTTTATGTACTTGGCAGGGAGAATGGAGGAGCTGAATTTTATTTAAATGGAGAAAACTGCAGAAAGTTAGAGAACAGGTTGGATTTGGGAGCCCTCATTCAGAAATCACAGAAGGTAGCATCCACATTCAGCAGGTAATTGGGAAAGCAAATGGAATGTTGGCTGCTATTGCAAAGGGAATGGAGTACAAAAGTAGGAAGGTTTTGCTACAACTATATAATACCACAAGTCAGACGACAGCTTGAATACCGTGAAGTTTTAGTCCCTTATCTTTAGAAAAATAAACTGACATTGGAAGCAGCCCAGAAAAGATTCAACAGGCTGATAGCAGGAATGGAGGTACTTTCTTATGAGGAGATGTTGAGCAGGATGGTCCTGTACTCACTGGCTTTTAGGCGATTAGGAGGCGACCTGATTGAAACATACAAGATTCTTAGTGGACTTGACAGGGTTGATGTGAAAAGGTTGTTTCCCTTGTAAGCAAGTCTAAGACCAGACAGCATAATCCTACAATAAAGCGTCACACATTTGAGACGGAGATGAGAGGAATTTCTTTTCTCAGAGGGTAGTGAATCTGTGGAATTTTTTATTACAGAGGGCTGTTGATGCTGTGTTAAGTATATTCAAAGCTGAGATAGACAGATTATTAACCTGCAAGAAAGTCAAGGGTTACGGGGAAAAGGCAGGACGGTAGAGATTAGGAGTATCAGATGAGCCACGATCTCAGACTTATATCTTATATAGAAGCAAACTGCATTAAGGTGCAAACTTTAATGGCACCATGATGGCTCAGTGGTGTAGTATTCAGTACATACTCAGCCATACATAACTAGAAAGACCCACCTTTGATGCCTTCCCTTTGCAGAGATGGTTGGATATCTATCCAAATAGTTGTTGGAACCCCACAAGTGTCTTTAGTAGAGGGGTTTAAAGTCAATCAGTGATGCCACATATATTGGGCACCCAGTACTCCTGCCAGAAAAGTTTATTTTTGTGGTTTGATGTCAGTGCTCTCAATAACAAACAGCTGTGAATAGAAATGCAGTAAGGGTTTTTTTCCTGGTGCAGTGGCACTGTCCCTACTTTTGAGCCAGGAGGCTCTGGTTCAAGTCCCCCTTGCTCCAGAGGTGTGTCACAACATCTCTGAACAGGTTGATTGGAAAATACCAAAAAATAAGAATGAGGTGCCAAGGGGAGGTCAATGCTTACAACAGCAAGAGCTAGAGCCTTCAAAAGAACAGCATTCAGGATGGAATTTTTAAAATGTAAAAACACATCTACGTGCAGAATATTATTAAGAGTCTTGAAACAATAAGGTAGTCTAAATTATGGGAAATTATTAAACTACTGTGGGAACTATATCATTGTAAAGCATGAATGCACAGGTATGGCAGTTCTTCACAGGTAAAGAAAGAGAAAAATCAGAGACACAACTTGAATGTGGTCCTAAGTCTTCACTCAGTTGCTTCCTAGTGGGCAGTATCAGAATAAACTGACGCAAGCATCAGGCCAGGATGACTACCCATCTCCACAACTCAGAATAACAGTGATAACCTATAAAATGCAAGGGACATTTCTCAAAAGCAAAGAGGAAAGACTAAAAAAAATCATTCACATGTTGCTATTAAAATAAATCAGTGAAAGTAAGAAAGTAATACACAAACCTTGGAATCCTTCGGTTTCTTTTTTCTGTTTCTAACTTTACTTCTAAGGCCAATATTCTGCACAAATATCAGAACCATCACAAATATCAGTACATACACTGAATCAAACAATAGTCATCCCTCAAAATACATACATTTCTATCACACTTTACTGAAATCTTTATTTCCGGTCCAAGCAAAATTTTTTTTATACTTATGTATAACATAACTTCTTTAATAAAGGGATTAAAATACAACCAGTCTCTCAATGTTTTCTGCATGTTTTTGAATTAAAATGCAACTATTCCTCAACTAGATGATGGAATTGCAGTTGTGTAACAAAACCTCAAAAGAGTACTACATGGACTTATAATTATCAGTGAAGATTCATTTGATTGTGCTTAAACTTCAATTTTGAATAAGGTAGGAAAGAAAGTGCTGCCACCAGAAAATCTAACTGCCTGTGTGACACTAATCAAAGTATTGCAGGCAATTTGTTTGTTTTCACTTTTTGTCTGCAAGTGTTGACTAAGGCTTTCTTAACTGCCTTGCACGATTAAGTGATGCCTTGCAATACATTCTTAACTGGAATGCATGCTGCGTCATATTCTTCCTTATCAGCTACATGGTTCAGATGAGAGGGGGATACAGCAGCAGAATCCGGAAATTTCCATTTTCCTTTTGTCTTTTTTCTCTTTATTCTTTCAAGGGATGTGTACCTCAGTGGCAAGGCCAGCACCTTGAACTGATTGGCTCTCTAGGCCATTTCAGGGGACACTTAATAGTCAACATCTTTGTGGGTCTGGAGTCACATACAAGTCAGACCAGACAGGCCATTAGCGAACTGTCTTAACATGTTTGACAACGGTTACCTGGTTATAATTAGAACAGCTAAAGTTTACTGAATTCAAATTTTATCACCAAGGGTGGTAGGATTTGAACTCATGTCTCCAGAACAGTAGCCTGGGGCTCTGGATTATTAATCCAGTGACATTACCACTACATCACTGCTTTCCCATTGGGTATCTGGTCTTAGTAGATGCATTGTAATATAGGTTATAACTATGTTTTGAGTGGGCAATGTTTAGCTTCTCTTGCTGCATGTGAAAGAATCTGCAAATGTCATTCTACCATTTTATTTCTTGACTTTGTTTTCTAATGGTATTTTGCAGGTCAAAGGGATATTGAAAAAAAACATTGGAGTTCATCTGGTTGGCATGTACAGCAAATACCTATTTCTTGCAATGAAGCTTTTTTCCAGTACTTATCTAATTTGCTGATACACTGTCTCTGTGGGCAGTCCACACTATCCTTTCTACTTCCAGTTTGCAAGGTAATTAAATCTAAATTGTCTTCTCATCCTCCCTCCAATTTGAAACCCAAGAAACCCTGAATAATCCATGTTTATGTTGTGTTTATTGATACCTATTTCACCCATGTCCTTTAGGACATAAATGTCACTCCTGTCTCAATGATATTTCTCATCAATGTTTCAGAAAGTCATTAGCTCACTACCGAAACTGAGCCACTTTACGGAATGACGTGCCCGTGCACTACTTGAGGGAATGATGCATTGTGTTATTCCAATGTGGCTGAAACCTTACATTCAGAGTCCATTGAACTGCTTTGCTAGATGCAAACAATCCCATGCAATATTTGAAGAGGAGCAGGGATTGCTTCCAGTCTCCTGGTCAATATACATTCCTCAACTGACACTAAATAAAAAATCTCGTTATTATTTTGTTGCTATTTGTGGGTGCTTTGTACATGCAAACAAAAAAAGGTCATTGCTTTAACAGCGTTGAGTATGCTTTAAAATGTACTTAATTGGCCGTGAAGCACCTTGGAAAGTTCTGAAGTCATGATATACAAATGCAGTTTTTATACAAAGGATTGTACAATGTCTTCTCGACTTAGTGTAAACATTCCAGATTAGTGAAACCACTCCTTGTAACAGAGTCACAGAGTAATACAGTTTGGAAACAGGCCCTTCGGCCCACACTGATCCATGCTGCCCACTCAGCTAGTTCCAGTTGCCCACATTTGGTCCATATCCTTCTAAACCCTTCCCATCCATGTACCTACCCAAATGTTTTTTAAATGTTGCTATTGTACCTACCTCAACCACTTTCTCCAGCAGCCCATTCCATACAAGCACCACTCTGTGTGAAGAAGTTGCTCCTCAGGTCCTTCTTAAATCTTTCCCCTCTCACCTTAAACCTATGCCCTCTAGTTTTCTATTCCCAATCCCTGGGTAAAAGACTATATGCATTTAACCTCTCTCTCTGTCCCTCATTCTCCTATATTCTAAGAATTAAGTCCGATCCTGGTCAACCTCGACCTATAACTCAGGCACACTAGACCTGGCAACATCCTCATAAACCTCCTTTGCACAGTTTCCAGTTTAACTATGTCTTTCCTATAACAGGGTGACCAAAACTGTCCACAATACTCCAAGTGTGGCCTCACCAATGACTTGTACAACTGTAACATAATGTTCCAACTCATACACTCAATGCCTCGACCGATGAAGACCAGCATGCTATGTGCCTTCTTCACCACCCTGTCCACTTGTGACACTGCTTTCAATGAACTATGTACTTGTACTCCTAGGTCCCTCTGTTCCACAACACTCCTCAGGACCTTACCATTTACTGTATAAGTCATCTTGGTTTGGCTTTCCAAAGTGCAACCCGTTACACTTATGTGTATTGAGCTGCATCTGTCAATCCTAAGCCCACCTTCCCATCTCATCAAGATCCCTCTGTAATTTTTGATAACCTTCCTCACTGTCAACACTACCTCCTAATTTTATATTATCTGCAAACTTACTAATCATAGCTTGTACATTAACATCCAGATCATTTATGTAAATAAGAAATAACAGAGGTCCAAGCACCAAGCCCGGTAGTACACCAGTAGTCACAGGCCTCCAGTCCAAGAAACAAGCTTCAACAATTACCCTCTGCTTCCTACCTTCGAGCCAATTTTCAATCCAGTTAGCCTGGATACCATGTGATCTAAACCTTCATGACTAGCCTGTCATGTGGGATTTTGTCAAACACCTTACTGAAGTCCATATAGACAACATCCACTGCCCTACCCTCATCTACCCTCTTGGTTACCTCTTTGAAAAACAGACATGACTTCCCGCACACAAATCCATGCTCACTATCCCTAATCAGACCTTAACTATCCAAATGTTGGTTGATCCTGTCCATCGGTATCTTCTCCAATGACTTGCCTACTACTGATGTCAGGCTCACTGGCCTATTGTTCCCTGGTTTGTCTTTGCTGCTTTTCTTAAACAATGGAACAACGTTAGCCACCCTCCAGACTTCCGGAACTTCACCAGTGGCAAAAGACGAAGCAAAAATCTCTGCAAGGGCCTGTGCAATTTCTTCCCTAGCCTCCCACATCGTTCGAGGATGGACTTGATCAGGCCCAGGTGATTTATCCACCTTAATGCAATCTAAGGCTGCAAACACCTCCTCTCTGGTAATATGTATGCAGTCCAAAACAGGCCCTCTTGTTTCCCTTATTTCCTTAGCATCCATGATTCTCTCCTCAGTAAACACTGAGGAGAAATATTTATTAAAAATCTCCCCCATGTCCTGTGGCATCACACATCGATGGCCATGCTGATCTTTAAGGGGACCTATTCACTCCCTAGCCACACTTTTACTCTTAATATTGCTATAGAACCTCTTGGGATTATCATTAACCTTATGTGCCAGATCCATCGCATACCCTCTTTTTGCTCTTCTGATTTCCCTCTTAAGTGTGCTCCTACACATTTTATAGTCATCTAGGGATTCACTTGAGCCCGATAGTTTAAAACCAATGTGTGCCCTCTTCTTTTTCCTGACCAGAACCTCAATATCCCTCATCAGCGAGGGATCCCTAAACCTGACAACTTTTCCTTTCACCCTAACAGGGACATACTGTCCTAGGCTCTTGATATCACACTTCTAAAAGTCTCCAATTTGCCAGTCGTACCTTTTCCTTCAAATGGACTCAGCCAATTAACCACGGCTAGATCCTGCCTAATGACCCCAAAATTGGCCCTGCTGTAGTTTATCACCTTAACCTGTGGACCAGTCCAATCTTTCTCCATAACTGTGTTAAAACTGAGAGAGTTATGGTCACTGGACCCAAAGTATGCTCTTTAGTCACTTGCCTGACCTTGTTTCCTAATATGAGGTCCAGTGTTGCACCCTCCAGAGTGGGGCCCTCTACATATTGATTTAGGAAACTGTCTTGGACACATTTGACAAATTCCACCCCGTCTGGGCCTTTCAAACTGTAGGTGGCCCGGTCAATATAGGGGAAATTAAAATCTCCAAACAGTACTACTGTGTTATTCCTACAGGTATCTGCAATCACTCTGCACATCTGCTCCTCCATTACCCGCTCGTTATGTGGGAGTCTATAATACAGTCCTATCAGAGTGACCATCCCCTTTTTGTTTCTAAGTTCTAACCAAATGGCCTCATTAGATGACCCCTTAGGAATATCCTCTCTAAGCACTGTTGTTATGTCCTCCCTTATCAAAAGGGCAACTCCCCCTCCTCACTTACTTGTACTTCTGTCACACTAGTGACAAACCTTTTAGAGTTTTTCATTTCTGAGGACTATACGTTTTTACTCTAGCTACCTTTCCTGCACTATTTCTCACAAACAGTTGATCATAAGTGTACACATCATTCCACATAGGGGTAGACCACAATATTTGATAGTCAGTAGTGCTCAGGAGTAATAAGCTGCAGTGATCTGGGAAGCAAATATTATATGAATTATAATTTTCATTTTTTTACATGTTTGCACAGAATGCAAGTACAACTTACAGATAATTCTTCATTTTCCTGTTTCTTTAGTACAGTACAAGGAGCATCTGCAGAAGAAGGAACAATAATTTAAGATAATTGATCTAGAATTAATCAAGTCAAGTGATACCATTATTGACACTGAATGAAGAGGTCATATCAGACTCATAATGTTAACTGCTACTGTCTCTACAAATGCTGCCAGACCTGCTGAGCTTCTCCAGCATTTTCTATTTGTTTTATATTTTCAATATCTACTTTAGCCACTTCAGATCTTGCAAATGTAGAAATTCCTTTGGCAGTGAGGTTAAATGATGGAATCAAAAATATGTCACTGGCTTCAAATATTTCAATTAAAAAATATATTACACAAACTAATTCCTGAAATAGCAATTTTTACACACAATCTTCAATTATCATCTATAGATTAAAAATGGAATTTTATGATGAATTTGAAAAGTCATTAGTAAGCAGCTTTGACAGCTGCTTAAGCACATACTCACGACTAAATACATACCCATTGCATTAAAATATTCATCTAAAGGAATGTGTAGGGATGGAAATTGTTCTCTTTTTTCCTCCAACTTCCATATAAAACTGCGGATTTTTGTAGGCGATTCCTGTTTCAACTGTTCTACAATTTCTTTAGTGCTATCAGAGGGTGAGAGATCAATCTTTGATGCATCCAGCAACTCTTGTACAGAGTTCAAGTCCAACTGCTCTATGCAATTTGAATAATGAGACAGAAATAGCTCTGCTGCTTCACGGCCTGGAAATAATTAAATCAATACTTCAAAATCAGCAGTAATAAACTATAAGTTATTACTTGTATATTAAATAATCATCTTACCTTTCTTAAATTATGCGAAAAATTCTGCTTAAAATAAATAATTCTAAACAATGGCACGGGAACAATTACCTAAGCACACTGAATTTTGATTGAAAACATCACATCAAATTGAATACAGAATTCACTTTCATGCAGTTTTAGCATTTAATAGATTTTTCTTCACATAAGTAGTTCTCCTCATTTCATCATTATTCTTAAGTTAATTCTTCAGGCATTTTTCTGTTTCGTACAAAATTGCATCATAGCTAATATGCATTTTTGAATGTACTGTCATATTACCTGCATCATTTAACCAATTGATCCAATCTAACAGCTTGTTGTCAACGTCTTGGCACTTGCTAAGTGTGTAGAGGAATTCCCTGGTCTTTATTCTGTTATTCTTCTGTACAATGAGGTCAAGAAGTTGACCCATAACCTGACATGGTTTGGAGGCACCTGTGTGAAGCATGTCAAAATCCTGTTCACTTAGAACATGAAATGAAAGCAGTTCTTGAAGTAGGCTTGAAACATTCTGCACTCCAGCTTTTAACTGTTCCTTGTTCTCAGTTATCAACTGCAACATTCGATCACCAAGAGGATTCCATGAATGACCTGTGTATATACAGAGGCCAAGTTAAAAAAATGAAAATTCAATATGCACTTGAAATCCATACATCTTCTTCAAAAGTCCTGGATGAGCTATTGTGGATGACAGTACAGCAAAATGAGACAATGCCAAAGCACTAAAATAGTTTTTGCATAATTGTTCACCTATCACCATTAACCATAATGTTAACGTGATACAAGCAACTGAGAGCTACACCCTTTAGGTAAAGTTGCTACAGCTCCCAGAAGACCACAGGGCTGCTCAGGCAAGGGGAGAGTTTGAGAAGGAGGGTCCTTCGTGGTAATCTCAGCCTGTGCAGGAATTGAACCTATGCAGTTGGCGTTACTCTGCATCACAAACCAGCTGACCAGTCGGTTAGCTCAGTTGGTTCAATTCCCACACCAGCTGAGGTTATTATGAAGTACTCTCCTTTTTAACCTCTCCCCTCATCCGAGGCATGGTGACCCTTAGGTTAAACCACCAACAGTCACATCCCTCTCTCTCGCTCTAAAATGAGAGCGCGCTATGGTCTGGTAAGACTAAGGTGACTTTACTTTTACATCTCTTTCCCAACTGTGTACATGTGTAAGCAGGTCAAATGGTTTAAGTTCTTCTTGCCTGACTCCCTCCCCAGTTTAGACCAGTAATGATCGAATTGAATGATGGAGCAAATTCAAGGCTGAATGGTTATCTCATGTCCTCTGTTCATCAAACCTCATCAAATAAGATTTGGTAATTCAATTTGATCCCTGTGGGGTAGATTTGGGGAAAAAAAAACAAAATCGATATCACTGTGGCTATGGACTAATAAATTCATCATTAATAATACTCGAAAGTTGTGAAAAAAAATCCATTTACCAGTAAATTTCTAGAACTAAATAATGTTACAGCATGAACAGGCCATTTGGCCCATTAAGTGTGTACTTTACATTCAAAGCAACTAATCAAATTCCATTCACCTCCTATTCCTCATACACTTTGATATTCCTTTACAAACACCTAAACAAAAAAAATCCATATTGTAACTACTCCAAACAAAAAAATTTTTCTAACCTCTCTTCAATTCTCTTTCAATGATCTTATATTTGTGCCTTGAATCATCACAATGAATGCATTTTTCTTTTTACCTGCTTTAGAATTGGTTTCGTCCTTTCTGCTATTTTTTTCAGACTTTTCTTTTATCTGTTTTTCAGCATTGTGCCTTGAAGCTTCTTTTTTCAACTGTTTTCTGGTTTGTTTACGACCTTCTTTAATTTTCAATTTCAATGCACTATGAAGAAAAATATTAATCAGCTCAGTAACAAATATATATATGTATATACACATCATGACTGAAAGGGTGGATAACCACTGAGCAATTGCTTTTTAGAGATGACTGCAGCAACAAGGAGAAATAGGTTAGAAATGATAAATTCAAGAGCAACAATGAATAGAACTTTAACCACCATAAGGGAAAGCGAGACACTGTGTTTGTCATTATTGATGTACACAATGTGGTGTCATTAGGTTACCTCCTGAAGGAGAAATAGATGCAAGATTGACTTGCAGAAATTTAACTTTGCAGAAGCCAGATACTGCAGAAAAGCAGATGCAATTTAAACTTTTAAAATATGAATGTAAATAACTAGTATCAAAGATTAAAAACTACTGAGAAGACAGCTAAAATGAAACAGTAACATGTCACTGTTTTACACAAAGATGGTGATCGACCAAAATTCAAAATCTTCCAATAAAACTATAATAAATTACACTATACAAAACCTTTCAGCTGAACACAAATTTGAAATTAGACAAGCAGCTAAAAGTCACCTTCAGAAATAAAATGTAAGCAGAAATGCAAATGTAAAAGTTTCAAAACGTTTTAAAACTTAAGGCGAACCGATAAGGTTTGCTCTTTAATATCAAGAAGTAATCACTGATAGGGGTCTGGTTTTAAACGCATACTGGGCTTCTTCTACTCTGGCCAGAAAAAAACCAAAAGGTAGCACAATCCATGTGTGTCTAGTTCAATCAGCTATTCATAATATAATGCTTAAAAGCTTGTGGCTACTTGTGACAGGTACAAAGAAAACTTTACCTTGAACATTTCTGTTTCACAACTGTTTTTGCTGGGTCTTTGCTTTTAGTTATTTTAGCCTCAAACTGAAAAAAAATTACATTTAATAAGGACAAAGACATAAATGTGCACCTTTTCTATTAAAGGACTATAGATCACTAACAAAAGATTCTCAAATGCTTACACATTATATATCAAAGTTGCTAGTTAGATTGCAATATTCCATTTCAAATGAACTTAAAAACACACCATTGTCTGTTTTGGACACTGTGGAATTTTACTGGTGCGTGGAAGTATTGTGGATGGGGAGGGGTCAGGAGAGTGAATTACAAGACAACATAGCATGGCTTTATCAGAATTGGGCTGTCATTGGAATCAGAAACCTACTCCACCAAATGAGCAGGCAAACAACATAATTAATTTTACTTAAGAGGGTGTGACAGCCTCCCTTTTGAAGGTGTTCTAGCTCTCTCTTCTTCAGCAGTGCTCTCCCATTGGGCTTGTCGGCTAACTCTCCCTCTCCTTGTCCGATCTAAGACAAATTAAGTGGCCCAAAGAAGACTTCTCCAGTTACTAACCCAAGAGGGGTAGGAACCCAGAAATACTCCAAGCACCTAAAAGTTTTACACATGCAAACGACTGTTCTATAGGTGCGCCTGGGATTTCTTTGTGCCCTAATGCTACTTGACAGAATCCCCAGCATATATTAAATGTAGTCCCAGGATGTCGGAGACAAAATAAGACCAGTGGATGACAGGAAAATAAAGCTAAGCAACTACCAAATGTATCAGAATTAGAAGTTCTTCAGCCACTGTGGAGAGGGTGTGTGGGAGTAAAGGTCAGGGAGGATGAAGATCTCTCTTATAATTAGGTTTTCCTTCAGTGCCTTCATGGGGAGTCTTCCTGACATATTCATTGGCAGACCTGATGTGTATCTTTTTCTTTGGTTGCTTCCCAAATTCTATCTGCTGCTTCACCTCAATGTTTGGAGACAATAAGGACTGCACATGCTGGAAACCAGAATCTATAGGTGGGAGGCTGGAAAAACACAGCAGGTCAGATAGCATCCCACGGAGTAAGTACATCAACGTTTTAAGCCAAAACCCTTTCGTCCTGACACCAGGATTAAAGGGCTTCGGCTCGAACGTTGACTTACCTGCTCCTTAGATGCTGTCTGACCTGCTGTGCTTTTCCAGCCTCACACTTGTAGACTCTCACCTCATCACGTTCTTAGGTGCGTGCAGCCTCAAACCTATCTGTAATTTTGTAGATTGATGTATGCTTTAAAATAACTCCTGAAAACGGTTTAAATTAATCAATGGCATCCTTGCCTCTCGATCCATGCAGTGGCCAGAAGACCCCTTGCTCCTAACTGGAGGCATCTGTTGAACATCAGGGTGCTGTCTTCTCCAACCTCCTATTCCACCCACATTTTGTGAAGAATGATTGTCAGGTGACTGTCAGTCATAATGTCAGCCCTTGTGTCAGCCCCAGGAGAGTTATAAGCCCTCATTAATCCAAAGGCCTTGCTGAAAGAATTTTAAATTTCATGTTTATTGGCCTAAAACAAAATGTAGCACTGAGAATTTTGACGGCTTAGTTGTTTCTGGTGCTTAGAAACAGTTTGCAACCATCCTGTCCCTAATTTAATTTCTGAAATGGTTTCCCTGGTATTGGTCCCAAAGGACCTTTACTGATTTCCCCTTGTTTTCCTTTTTCCATTCTCCTCACAACATTCCCCACCTTCACAACTCCCTGTTTCAGTCTTCCTGCCTCATTCACATGAAGTTGCTTTATGCCCCTTACCTGTCTGACCCAAATAATGTATTTAGATGTTTAGATCCCATGATAGGCAAATACAAAATAATGAAACACAATGATTGTGAAAAAGAAACTTTTTTTGTCTAAGAAGATCTCAAGAAAAATCTTACCTCGCATTTCACAAGACCTTTTGAATTATAGATGACAATTTTTGAAATCTGTCCTCCACAGTCAGGTGTGAAACATTGACTTCTGAGAAATTCCTTCAAAATGAGAAAAAAAATCTGTCTGACTATGTTTAAAAGGAACACAAACATTCTGATCTATTAGGATTTATCTGGAATCCATGAAGTTGAATTCCTTTAAAACACATTTCAAATTAGTACCAGAAGTCCCTGCCATGGTTCACTTCATAGCCCTCCTTTCTTTAATTCAGCAATTGTGGCTTCACGTCCCACTCCAGAGCTTGAGCACAAAAAAATAAGAAAACTGAGGGAATGCTGTCTTAAGTGCCAGCTTTCTAAGGAGATGTAAACCAAGGTCCTGTTTGCTTCTCAGGTAGATGCAAAAGATCACATGGTTTTGCTTTGTAGTATCTCAGTGTCATTGCTACATTACTATTTGTGACAATTTGTTCACATATTTGCTGCCACTTTTCTTATGTTACAACAGCAACTACAATTTTAAAAATCCTTCAATACTCTCCTCAGGGGCATGATATGCACTATATATATTCAATTCCTCGTACTGCTTCAAGTGATCAACAACTGGTGTTTATATAGGACCAACAAAGTCAAAACTTCTCAAATTAACTGAATAAATCCTCAAAGGACCAAAAACATCTTACTCAATTGAAGAGGCACTAGTTATACAGCTTGAGGGCACCACCCTACCTCAACAGTAGGACAAGGTTGTAGGTAGGCTCCATGGGCAACTACAGCACAGGGATTAAATTTGGCACTATTCTGCATGTTTGCCAATCTTGAAATGGGATTTTCAGCAAAAGCTTGAATGGGAACAAACAAAATTATGACTTGTGTACGACAAGTAATAATGGACTGACAGAACTATTCTGAACGTTGCACAAATTCTGATTTTGAATTTAATCCACTTCAATACTGTAAAACTCAACTAGTCATTTGTTTTGTGCACAATCTTGTCCTTGTTCATATTCTTCTACAAATACCACAAATATCCATCGTCGCCATTTATAAAGGGAACTAACCTTGTCATTTTTATCTTCAAAGGAAGCTGCCTTCAATTTCTTCCAACAGTTGATATGATATTCCACACAACATTGTAGGCAGCACATTACTTGAATAAAGCCCTGGAAAACAAGAATCAAAATGATCGATAACATGTACTGTATAGTTAGATAAACAACTAATTTCCTGCAGGCACAGTGGATGTTTTGACAGCATGCTTACCGGCTCAGTTGACAGTACAAGGTCAAAGATGACCACAGCATAATTATGGCTTAGCAAAAATGACAGTGTGTGTATCTCTCGCTAGGCCAGCATTTGTTGCTCATTATTCCTTTTTAATCCTGGAGAATTGCTCAATTAAAATCACTTGGTATGTGCCACTTGCACCTTAAAATTCACTACCTTAAAATCTGGGTCTGTGAAGTAGATCTGGACCTTAGAATGTCCCTGGCAATGTTGATAGCGGCAGGTTGCATCAGGTACTGGAGGAAATCTGCATTTCTCAATGTATTCTTCCAACATGGCCTAAAAGATGAAATTACATGAAAAAAGAGCAACTTTACATTGAAAACTTACAAACTCCAACAGAAAAAGATATTTGTTTTAACTAGGAAACTTTAATGTTGAGCATGGTCCATACTGCAGGATAACACAGGGAGAGAATGATTGAAAGTGGCAACACAAGTGGATAAGGTGATAAAGAAGCGAATAGCATGCTTGCCTTAATACGTCGGGGCATCGTGAATAAAAGTTGTCAAGTCATGCCACAGCTATTTAAGACTTTATTTAGACCAAGTATGGAGTATTGTGTGGAGTCCTGGTCCCCACATATGTAGGAAGGATGTGGAGGCGTGGTAGAGGGTGCAAAAGAGGCTTGCCAGGATGTTAGATACCAAGGTGTAAAGCTGGATGAACACAGCAAGCCAAGCAGCATCAGAGGAGCAGGAAAGCTGATGTTTTGGGTCTAGACCCTTCTTCAGAAAAGATTTCTGAAGGAGGGTCATGGCCCGAAACGTCAGCTTTCCTGCTCCTCTGATGTTGCTTGGCCTGCTGTGTTCATCCAGCTCTACACCTTGGTATCTCAGATTCTCCAGCATCTGCAGTTCCTACTATCTTTTGCCAGAATGTTAACTGGGTTAGAAGGTATTCTGTACAAGGAGAGGTTGGATAAACTTGGATTGTTTTCACTAGAGCATTGGAGGTTGAAGGGTGACTGAATAAAAGCATATAAAATTTTAAGTGGCATGGATAGGGTGGATAGTTGGAGTCTTTTTCCCAGGGTAGAATTGCCATATACTACAGGGCATAGGTTTAAGGTGAAAGGTCACTGTTTAAAGGCGATGTGTGAGGAAAGTTTTTTTTTTACACAGAGGGTGTTAGGCGGTAGAAGCAGAAACATTCGTAAAGTTTAAGATACATGCATGCATGCAGACAGACAGACGAACAGGCGAGGAATAGAGGGCTGCAGACCATTTGCAGGCAGATGGGATTAGTTTAGAATGGCATCATGATCAGTGCAAACATGGTGGGCAGAAGGGCCTGTTCCTGTGCTGTACTGTACTGTTCTATGTTCTCGAAACACTTAAAAATTAGTGATCAGAGACAAAAAGCTTAGAAAGTTTTGGATTCACATACACAATAAAGCAGAAAGCACCAAAATAATTTCAGGTTGAGGGGTCAGAAAATTTTTACATTGTATGTGTAAATGCTTCTACACATGATATTAAAAGAGTGGAATTCTAAAAGTACTGAGAGACAAATGCAGTTTTTTTTTAACTCTAAATCTAACAGCCATTTGATTCGTCAGGACGCTGACTTTCCAATATCATGATCCAAGTTGATGTTGATATTGGACAAGTCAAATCCCAGAATGAAACGACAATTTGGTTAACGTGTGGTCAGTCATATGAGACTGAACTTAAGAAAAATGGACAAGTTTATTGTATGAAAAGAAAAATCTGCTGCATACAGAAGACAATTTGGAAAGATCTCATCATAGTCAACATTAAGAAAGAATCAATTCCTTTCCTAGCAAAATCCTTTACAGACAGTCAACCTCCGTGATGTCTCAATCCTATTTCTACTTTAAAATGTTCGACTCAACTGACAAGATTGCAGTGTTTTGGAAACTTTCTACATGCTCTCCAAACCAAAATTCCACACACTTTCAGTTTCTCCCTAAGACACAGGCTAGACTTTTCTCACTGATTTCTAAAATCAGCTTAAAACTTCTTTCCAACTCTGATGGCATAGACTGCTAAAACAGTTTAAGACTTCCTTCCGGCTCTGATATCCATCATGCTTGAGGACCCTAGACACCTGACTCTGTAGATCGTTACAAGTTTAACATTTAAACAAAGTTAGCAATTATCAAGCCAGGTAGCTTGAGAGTCATTTAGCTTAAATCCGACGCTTTCTTAGAAAGGCTGCTTTGAACTCCCTGTTCAAAAGTTACTTTCTGACTTTTAAAAAGAAACAAGACATTTTCACACAACTATACAAAACTTAACCCTACTCTAGAATCCAAGTTTCTAATTAACAATAATACGTTATCAAATTTTATCACAATATATTTAAAAAAGTGTTACCTTTAATTTTTCAGCCTGTGTTTCTTCAATAACAACGGTTGTTGTGGGCCATGTTAGTATGCCTGGAACAATCTTACGGTTTACCATTGTTAAGGATTTAGTGAAAGGATCTAAAGCATCAGCAAATCTGTGGTAAAAATACAATGGAAATGGAGAAGAATCAGTGGAAACAATACGTTTCAATATGTAACAGCCATTTTCTAAGCAACGGAAAATGGAAGGAAAGGGCAGACAAACAATATGAACCAGCACAAATAAGCTATATGGTTGGACCAAATTTACAATAAAAGATTCTGCAGGTCAAATCTAAATCAAGTCCATCTTGTGCACCCATTTCCACTTCACAAACTTTTGCTCACTCATTAATTACTAAAGCAAACAGTTTCACAAGTGTCTCTAGTGCCCAAAATATAACAAAAGCCATAACCTTCCTGACAATGCAAGAACACAGAGATAGAAGTAGGCTATTCACTTTCTCAGATTGGTTCTTGGTACAAGAACGTTTCTTATAATGGGATTCAATAAAATGGGCATATACTCTCAAATTTAGAAGATTGAGAGGCAAACCCCTTGAAATATATAACATTTTGAAGGATCTTTACAGGGTAAACATAAAGAAGTTGCTTCCCTTTGCTGGGGGTAGCTGATTATTAGGACTGATAAGGAGAAATTTCTTCACGAGGGTTGGGAATCTTTGGAATTCTCTACTCCGGAATGTTGTGGATGTTCCGTCACTGAATTTGATACTCAGATGCAAAGAGTTATGCTTTGGCCGTTCCCAAAAGTTTGTCGTAATTCTCTGCATACCCCTCGGTGATATACAAGCCACGATCCTAAGCAATGGAATCACAACAGGTCCAGTTCATGTCTGGAGGGGGATCAGACAAGGTTGTCTCATCACACAGACTCTTGATCAGGGACTGCATGACTTGACCAGCTCTGTTGGGCCATGTCACCTTCATGCTTGATCTGAGACTCCTGAAGCAAGCGATCTACCAGGAGCTTTGACGTGGCAAGCGAGCACCAAGAGGGTAGAAGAAACACTTCAAGGATTCTCAAAGCCTCCTTGAAAAGATGCAATTTTCCTGTCGACAACAGAGAAACACTGTTCCAACACTGCCTGAAGCGATGGGAATGCATTTGGGAAAGATGTGTACATCCTGCCATTCCAAGATCTTAAACGCAGTGCCCAAAACTGAACATAGTATTCCAGATGAAGCCTGACCAAAGCATAACTTTGACTCCTGTAAATACACTCCCAGAAATAATTTGGCCATATTTCATTCTCCTTTGTTTAAAACTTTTTGTAGCATTGCATTAGCTTTAATGAATTGTGCAGTGATGCCTAAACCTCATACCTCTCCAACAACACTTAGTTTCTCACCATTATGAATATACTCTCATTCGTCTTTATCACATCCAAAGTGAATGCCCTTACACTTACCCCCAATGGAATTCATTCACTGCTCCCTCACTTAATCTATGTCCTATTGTAACTTTCTATTCCTACCTCCACAACATACCCCAAATTCATATACGAATCTTTTTTTTCCTTCCAAAATTACAAATACAAATGGTGGAAACCTGAGATTCCAGTAAGGACCACCACTTTATATTTTCTCAAGCAAACAGAGGACTCCTTTGCCTTTTTCTACACATGGATTTTGGTTTCTGAACACCAACCTGTTCTGCCGGAAGTACACTTTGCCAAGTCCATAAAATGCCAAACAGTCAAGCCGCTGCTGTGGGAACTGCTCCAAGATTTTATTAAATTGATTTTCAGCCTCAGTCAGCTCCTAGTTTTAGGTAAAGTACAAATTAGTGGTTCCTGAACAGAAAGTACACAAGAACAACAACTACAATGCCTAATGAACCCTCTACCATGTACGTTTATTGTCACAGTTACGCTGGGGTCAGTCCATATGGCGTGATCTGTTTGACTGGGTCTTTGTTCAGCCACAAAACATTTAGGTTCTTTAAAGGATGTGAATGTGGGTAGGTACTCAATAGAAAAAAACAAAAACAAATTGTGTAGCCATTTTTGTTATTGTTTATGTATGCAACAGGATACATTGTTTAAGATTTCATAAGTGATATTAGTGCATTTCATGCCTTAGTAATAAATTACCAAGTGGTCATGCTTGAGAGAGGGAGCCTGTACCTTTATCTGGTACTGCAATTATAAGTGTCATTTAATGCATATGTCAGCAAATGAAACTTTCTTGGTAATGACTGCTTAATAAGCGGAACCAAAATAACAAAAGTTTAAGTTCATTTTTGTAAAGGTACCCAAAATCATTCACATTCTTCTCCTACAATCTACATGTTCTTCCTGCATTTATAGTCTAACCCAGCATGCTGCAAGCTATTTCCCACAGTGTGTCAAAACAAATATTAACATTTTGTATCAATTTTTGTCTGTTTTTAAAGGGGTAGTGGGGGGGTGAAAAGAAAAGAAGCAGTCATTACTTCTTCATACAGATAATACTTTTAAGTGAAGGCAGAAATTGCCTTATAGATATTTGCTCAGAACTCCTAAGCGTCTCACTACTGAATGCGCCAAATGGAGTGCTACATAAAGGTTGTGGGTTGGGGTGGGTGGTAGTGGTGGTGTGGGTCTAATTGTGTGTATGGGAGGGTTAGTTAATCCAAAGGTTTACAAGGACATTTGGCAAGCATCATCCCAGGACTGAATAGCACACTGGAATCCAATGCCTTGTGTCAAATATGAAAAGTTTTCATTTGATTCTGATATTGATTGGAACCATAGCACTACCATCCACAAAAAGAAAGAAGAATGCCCATGTAGGCATTTATTAGGTGGACCTTTGGATCAGATACTGATATAATAATTTACTTCGCACAACACGTTTCAAACATGCTCACTTACAGCAATAATTGAGAACTCTCAAAAAAAATTAGAGAAAATGACGACGTATACCTCAGGCAATCCAATGCCAAGGAGGGCAGAGGCATGACCATAGATAATTATCACATATTCACTTCTGGACAAAGATGCTTCCTAGAAAAGGAAAAAACAATTAACAACTCAGTATGTAATAAGAATAATAATTCAACTTGTTTGCATAGTTGGAAAATGAGGATCCATGGTTTGTACCTAATAGATTTCTTAACCTAATAGAAATAAGTGTAGGTAGTTAGTAAATAAAAAGGTAACACAGATAAAAACTAAATATGTATCAACTTTGAACTTATGAATTCAAGACAGACTGTATGGTTCTCATGTCCTTGATCAAATTAACACCTTAATACCAATGAATGCATCCTGAAGCGAATATGCTATTCTTGAGCATGCACTGTTAACGAAAAGTGCTTTATGTGGCTTGGGTTTTTAATCCCCTGAGATGATACAGACCATTCCCTTCTCTCTTTGGTGAAGCTGTCTTTTCATCTCACAATTGACAGGCATATTTTTAATTTTAATCTTATAGGTTTTAGGCGTTGTGTGTAATTAGCTCTGATCATAGGAACAAAGGCATCATTGAATGTGCACATCTTACCTGGGATATGTGTCACTGCTCCAGTCACAAGACTTCTCAATTAAGACATATCTATGTTTCAAACTAATAGTTAAAGGATGTGTCTTGGGGGCCTACACTACATTGGAAAAACTAAATGCAGACTGGGTGACCGCTTTGCAGAACACCTCCGCTCCGGGCGCAAGCATCACCCTGACCTATCCATAGCCACTCATTTTAACAAAGTGTTTTGCTCGCATGCTCACTCATCTGTCCTTGGCATGCTGCAATGCTCCAGTGAATCACAGCACAAACTGGAGAAGCAGCATGTCGTTTTCAAACTAGGCAGTTTACAATCTTCTGGGCTCAATATTATGTTCAACACCTTCAAATTATGAACCCATTTCTTCCAGCTTTGCTTGTTACATCCTCCGTCACCCCCTCTCCCCTTCTCCCACCCAAGTGGGACTGTCTGTCCTTTCCAATCTGGCAGTTAGACACAGCATTCTTCTGCCATTCTCACAGTCCAATCAATTAATCTGAACTACCAACATCCTTTCTCCCCCAGCACTCCAATCACTCCCAGCTCCCCTTCCCACTATTGCATAAATGCTGCCCCCTCCACACTTCACTTCAGCTCTGATGAAGAGTCATTAGACTCGAAATATTAGCTTGCTTTCCCTCCATGGATGCTGCCTAACCCGCTGTGATCTCCAACATTTTCTGTTTTCAGTTCAGATTCTGGCATTTGCAGTAATTTGCTTCTGCTCAAACATTATCTCACATCCACTTTATAATGGTGCAAACTCTTCTTTCTTTCAAACTTCTGAGGTCAACATTTTAAAGTTATAGTCATGGTGCCTTTTGAAAAATACATACAGATTCTAAAAAATTGATCTGTGATCTGAAAACTTAATACAGTTATTTTATTGAGGTTGGAGCTTATAAAAAGGTAAATGCCATAATACCATTTAACACTAATAGCAGTTTTTCCTACTGAATACAAGTTAAATCTTGATTAATTATAATCAGTGCATATTCTTATCAACTGCCTTGCTACTTGGTATATGCCTTAATACATTACTGTAAACTCAATACACATTGTTGGTATTGAATTTGGGCTGTTTTGCCGAGTGTAGCATTTTACTGAGTTTGAAATGTCTTCCAAGCTATGTACTGGCTTCTTAAGATGGCCATTTTAGCTTTGCTAACTTGTGGGGTAAGTTTTAAGAAAAAATGTCAACTAAAATGACTTACATACTTCCTGTGAAGTGCCTGAGGGAAATTTTACAGTAAAGGCACCACATAGATGCAAATTACTATTGTTGGATAGTGTTAAAGTGGTTCATGTGTGGAATGACCTTCCTGAGGAAGTGGTGGATATGGGTATAATTACAATGTTTAAAAGACATTTGGATTCGTACATGAATAAGAAAGGTTTGGAGGGATATGGACCAGGAGCAGGTAGGTGGGACTTGTTTAGTTTGGGATTATGTTCAGCATGGAATGGTTGGACAGAAGGGTCTGTTTTCGTGCTGTATGACTCTACGTCTGCAACTAGAGAGAAAGGCATTCCAAGATATGAAAAACTTGTGTATTTCAGATATTATCTCTTTATTGAAAAATTTTTGAATTTGTGTGTTTTCTAGTTAAATCAATAGTCACTTTGACTGAAAAACTTAAGGTGCTCTCTCTGCCAGCTGTAAATATCAGCTATTGGATTAATACCAATGAGGTCGTAGACTTGTTTGTCGAGTCGGTGTGTTTGATTGCAGATTCTTCGTCACCCTGCTAGGTAACATCAGTATGCCTTCGGTGAAGCGTTGGTGTTCTGTCCTGCTTGTTATTATATGCCTCAGTTTGCTGGGGTGGTTGGCATTACTTCCAGTTCTGTTTTTCAATGGTTCGTATTTCGGGTCCAGTTGAACGTATTTGGCGATGAAGTTCCAGTTGGAATACCAGGCCTCCAGGAATTCCCTGGCATGTCTCTGTTTGCCTCGAGCTGTTATGGATATGTTGGCCCAGTCGAATTTGTGTCCTTCTTTGTCCGTGCATATTGAGACTTGTGAAAATTGGTCGTGTCTCTTGGTGGCTAGTTGGCGTTCATGTATCCTTATTGTCAGTTTTCTTCCAGTTTGGTCTGTGTAATGATTTTCACAGTCCTTGCATGGTATTTTGTATATTATGTTAGTTTTTTTGGTTGTGTGCATGGGATCCTTTACATTCGTAAGTAGCTGTTGTAGGGTGGTTGTTGGTTTGTGGGCTACCCTGATACCAAGGGGTCTGAGTAGTCTTGTGGTCATCTCTGATATGACTCTAATGCACAGTAGAGTGATTAGTGTGTCTGGCCACATTGTGTCTTGTTGTGGACTGTTGTGAAGGTAACGGCGGATTGAACACCAACTAGCCACCAAGAGACACAACCAGTTCTCACCGGCCTCAATACACATGGACAAAGAAGGACACGAATTTGACTGGGACAACACATTCATAATAGCACGAGCCAAACAGAGACATGCCAGGGAATTCCTGGAGGCCCGGCATTCCAATTGGAACTCCATCAACAAACACATCGAACTGGACCTGATATGCAAACCACTGAGAAACAGAACCGGAAGTGATGCTAACTATCCCAGCAAACCGAGGTATATAAATAACAAGTGGGACAGAACACCAACGCTTCACTGGAGGCGCACTGACTATGTTACCGAGCAGGGTGATGAAACATTTGCAACCAAACACACCAGCTCAGCAAGCAAGTATACAACCTCATCCACAACCTGAGCTACAAATCTTCTCAAGAACTTTAATACCACTGATTTCAGTAAATACAAGAACCACTCCAGTAATGAGCACAACAGAAATTGGTTCCAAAACAGTTTGCAAAGAAAGGGAATATGGGACAACAGTAAGGCCTTCCAGAACAAAATCAAATAGCTACAACAGTTTAACAGTGTAATTTGGGTTGGGGGGGGGGG